ACCCCACCTCCCCCCTCCTTCATGCTCAGATTGAACTGAGGCTTCATGTAGACATGTATATTCTACCAGTAAGGTACACCTTCATCCTGCATTATAGGCTTATAATTAGATATAGTACCTTGAGAAAATGATTTGATGAAATAGCTTTAAAGTAGATATATTGAGGTATTTCTGGTATAGGAATGAAGATCAAATTAATATAGTGATAATTGACTTGTTTGAGTTAAAAATAATGAGGTTTGAAAACTTATAGATCATTGCCCTTAGAATATATAAAATGTAATTATTTTGTTCATGCAGGTTTAGTTCTATTAATGAAGTTTGAAAGAAAGAAAATGATAACACTCGGGAGGCAGAGGCAGGCGGATCTCTGAGTTCAAGGTCAGCCTGGTCTACATAGTGAGTTCTAGGCTAGCTGGGGCTATAGGAAGACCATGTCTCAAAAAGGCCAGAAGAAGGAAGGAAGGGAGGGAGGGAGGAAGGAAGGAATGAAGGTTGGTTGAGAGTTATAATTTTGCTTTGTAGAGGCATAGTGGTTTTAGACTAAACTATATACAGAAAGATTCTGAGTTCCTGTAGTTTAGGGGGAGGTGCTTTTTTTTTTTTTTTTTTTCGGTCTTTTTGAGACAGGGTCTCCCTGTAGCCCCAGCTGGCCTGGAACTCACTATGTAGACCAGGCTGGCCTTGAACTCACAGAGATCCGCCTGCCTCTGCCTCTGGAGTACTGGGATTAAAGGTGTGCACCACCACGCCTGGCAGGGGGGAGGTTCTTTTTGTATGTGACTAGATAGAAGAGAAATTTGTTACTGAAGAGTAGAAATTTCCCCTGAGTTCGATGAGAATGTGATGTGTATTTATTTCTTGAGTTTGTAGCTAAGGGAATTGGAATACGGCATGAGGAAATTTCCTCTCTTGGGTTTCATTTTTACCCCGAGGACTACTTAAATGATTGTGTTTCACTCAAGAACGTGGGGACAGATTGTAACTTGGCTCTCATGCCTTCCTAGCATGCACAAAGCCCAGCACTGTATAAAACCAGATGTAGTATATGCTTGTGATCCCAGCACTTGGGAGGTGGAGGCAGGAGAATCAGCAGTTCAAGGTCATCCTCAGCTACAGACCAAGTTTGACTTGGAGACTGTGTCTCCAAAAGAAAGATGATGATGTGAAGGAAGTCATTAATTAGCCTGAGGTTGGTGGATAGGACTGCTCTTTTAAAGACCTTAGACTTAAAAACATAAACTTCTGTGCTTTATCTTTTGCCTGATTAAGACAGGGAGGGAGTGGTTAGGTGTGGCACACCTGTAATCTCAGCATTTGAGAACTGGAGCCAAAGGATCTGGAGTTCAAAGATAACTGTGGCCACATGAGAGAGACTGTGTCTCAAGCAACACAACAATGAAATGAAAAGACAGAGTTGGGGAAGAATGGCTAGGAAATGGAAAGTGTGTAGAATATTCCAGAGCTGATTCTTTAGCTTGAAATTGTCTATAAATACAAATGCACCTCTGTTTCTCATTTGACACACACCCCCCCATTCAAGGCAGTTAAATATTGTAGGACTTAGTTATGGTCAGCAGGGGGCATCCATTGCTTGCCTCTTGGCCTAAGGACCTCCAACAAAAGGATGGAGGAGAAAGTTCCTGTTTCAGAATTGCTTCCTCTGAAAATGTCATTAAACCATTACTACCTTTCAGGGCATCAAATGGGAAAAGTGTTTGGGATATTGGAACAAAAGCTGCCTATGGCTCTAAATAAGGGACCTTAATGAGACTGGTTATGACCCACAGTTTTATGGGAGTTGTTTGTTAGGGAGTTAATGTCCTCCTGTTTATCTGGGGGACTTCCGAACTTTGTCTCCTGCCCCTGTGGTCCCCCTCCTTTGTTTTCTCTTAAACCTTTTGACCAGTAACTTACCATGTTTTCCTAATTCAACCCCCCCCCACCCCCTTAGCCTTTTCCCACTTCCTGTGGCATTTTTATTTGTTCCACTTTCACTGTTTTAGCTAGAGCTACAATCCCCATGTGAGAAATATGGGATTTATAAAAGAAGGAAATCAGCATGTACAGCACTCAATAATTGTGTAATGAAAATTGGCAACTGTATTTAAATGAAGGTTGGAGAGAGAACCATCATCCTAAACTAACTTTAAAGTTCCTAAAAACAAATGAAATGATTTCTAGTATCCTTTGAGTGTTTTCCATTTGGACCAATATGTTTAACCTAAATTCTTTCCTGATTACTTTCTTATACCTTAGTTAAAGTAGCTTAGTCTTATTTTAATTCTCTCTTCTCAGTAGATGACAGTTCAAGGAACCAGTTGTAATGGACTTCATGTTTCTTTGGATTAAGGGGTGGCAGAACACATAATGGGGCAGAGGACATGATTCAGGTGAATTCTTATACCTTTCTAAGGTTTGGGTTTAAAATAGCAGTTTTCTGATTTTTAAAAATCTCTCTTTTCCAGGGCATCGGAAAAAAAAGTGGTAAAAATTACATCTGAAATACCACAGACTGAGGTAAGTATTCTATTTCTTAGTATCTCCTCCCCCTCTCATTCCTTTTTAAAATATTTATTTATTATTTATTCATTTATTTTGGGAGGAGGGATGCAGAGGCAGGCATGCCATGGTGCTCATGTTGGGGTCAGAGAACAATTTTCTAGAGGCAGTTCTTTCATTTTTTGAAGTGGGGAGCTCTTTGCCCCCGCCCCAATTTTTTTTTTAATTACCTTTTATTCACTTAGCTCTGTGTGTGTGTGTGTGTGTGTGTGTGTGTGTGTGTGTGTGTGTCTGTGTCCATGTCCATCCGTGTTCTCTCCTTCTGTCATGTGGGTACCTGGGATTGAACTCGGAGGTCATCAGGCTTTGTGGCAAGTGCTTTTACCTACTGAGTTATCTTGCTGGCTTCAGGCATGGTCTCTTCTGTTGCTGCTGTGATGTATCCCTCAGGCTAGCTAGCACATGAGCTTCCAGCAATTCTCCTGAAATTGCTCTGCCTCCCGTCTTCTAGCTGGAGTGCTTGGATTATAGATTGTACTAACACATCTGATGGTTTAATGTGCATCCTGGGGGACTCCTCTCAGGATGTCAGGCTCGTGCGGCATGCACTTTAACTTGCCGAGTCATTTTCCCAGTCCACCCTCTCCCTTCTTTTTATGATTTTTTTTATTTTTATGTGTATACTTCAGTCTACCAAGTGCTGGGACTATGGTAGTAGGTATGCACCACCACTCCTGTCAATTCCTATTTTTTTACCTATTTTTTTTCTGTATCATTATTTAAAAATTTTTATTCAGAGCTGACAAGATAGTTCTGCTGGTAAAGGATCTTGTAGCCAAAACCAAAACCTGAGTTTGATCCTCTGGGACATACATGGTAGAAGGGAGTGAACCGTCTTTAAAAGTGCTAAAAAAAAAAAAAGGCCGGGCGCACGCCTTTAGTTCCAGCACTTTGGAGGCAGAGGCAGTCAGATCTCTGTGAGTTCGAGGCCAGCCTGGTCTGCATAGTGAGTTCTAGGTCAGCTGGAGCTACAGGGAGACCTTGTCTCAAAAAGACCCCCCCCCCAAAAAAAATTAAGTGCTTAAAATTTTATTTATAGAAAATCAGATTTGGGGATGGGTGTGGTGGTGTACACCTTTAGTCACTTGGGAGGCAGAAGCAGGTAAATCTTAGTGAGTTCTAGGCCAGCTGTCTCAAAAAAGACAAAAAAAAAAAAAAATCACATCTGATTTTGATCTCTCCACTTACTCTTGGGAAAATACTTGAGCTGGAATAATGAGTAGTTAGCTTTGCGGCTGTTATCTGTTGTATGTAATTCTGTATTCTTAATAGTAATTCTTAAGAAGTTTACAGGCATAGGATTAAAATTTTTAGAGGATTGTATCTTGAAGAAGTGGCGTGGTAGCTGTTCTTCAGTTGTTACCTGCTAGCTGATGAGAGTGAACTTTCTTTGGAATTTTAATCTCAAGATCTATGAAATCAAGTTCCATTGAGCTCTTGTGTTCAGTTTTGAACTTTCAAAATAAAGATTTATTAAATTCTTTTAGAATGCTGTGAAATAGTGGTCTTATTTTTAGTTGAAAGATTGCCTACTAGTATTGGACCCAAGCTGTTCCTTTGATCTTTTTCAAAGGTCAATCAGACTCAGCTTTGAGGTTCTTGGCTTTGTGCAGAATGTAGATTTTATTTTTTTCTCTCTCTCTGTTTTTGAGAACACGAATGTAATAATAGTTTTGTGTGTTTCTTTTCTGGAAACAGCTGTCGTGTTAAGCTGTAGGATGGATAGTACTTGATGTGCACAGGGAGTGTCAGGTTTTCAGACAGACCTTAAGTAGTTATTCTAACCAACTTTGTTTCAACCAGAAGTTAAGTTTTTCTTATCTTTCGTTGTCATTACTTAGAGAATGCAGAAAAGGGCTGAACGATTCAATGTGCCTGTAAGTTTGGAGAGCAAGAAAGCTGCTCGGGCAGCTAGGTGAGTGTTTCCAGCCCTTTAAAATATTTATGTAATAATTGTTGATTTTAAGTGGAATACAATGAATACATTTTGGGGCATATTCAGAACATTTCTGCTCTACATTAGCCTTTGTAATTATTGGTTAGAGTTTTCGTAGTAGGTAAAAGTCAGGAACTGACTGTTGTTCCTAAGTCTGATGTGGACTGCTTTTAGTGTATTTTTGGACTCTTGGTGAGAAAGAGAGTAAACTGAACCTCTTTCATGGGGTTGTTAGAATTAGCTAATGATTGCAAAGTTTGAGATCACAAGGAAGAAGTGTCATGTACCCTTGACAGGGACACAGCCAGGAGTGTGAATAACTTCCTAAAACTTAGCTTGTTTTTTCTCCCTATAGGTTTGGATTTTCTTCAGTTCCAACAAAAGGTGAGAGGACAGAGATTCTGAGAAAGTTTGTTTTGTTTCTTTTCTGGCGTCCCATATTTTATTCCTCCCAATTAAGATAAAATTGTTAGCTCTAGAAGCCCTTGAGATTATAGTATTTGTATCTTCCCTTTTGGGAAAGACATACCTAAGACATCATGGAAAATTGAGAGAATAAGAGGAAGTGCCTCTGTTTGTCTTCCTTTCTTTGACATCTAAAATGTTTACCACCTGTTTTATTTATTCTGTGTCTTAGCGTAAAATTATTGTGTACTTCTCCAGTGTTCTGAGCTAACATAGTAAAAGGAAAAAGGTTATTTTACCCTCAGTTTTACTTTTTTTTTTCTTTCCTTTTTTGGTTTTTTGATATGGGAATCTCACTATGTAGCCCTGACTGGCCTGGAACTTGCTGTGTAAGCCAGGCTGGCCTTGAACTCACGAGATCCACTTGCCTCTGCCTCCAAAATGCAGGGATTAAAGGCAGAATCACCAGGATTTTACTTGTAAAAAATTTGTAAGGAAAGCCAGGTGTTAGTGTTAGTGGCACATGCCTTTAATCCTACCACTTGGGAGGCAGAGGCAGGTGGAACTCTGTGAGTTTTAGGCCAGCCTGGTCTATATAGCAAGATCCAGGCCAGCCAGGGCTACAGGGAGTCCCTGTCTCAAAATAAAAAATAAAAATAAAAAAAAAAGAACTTGTAAGGAAATAATCTTTGTTTAAAGGATTTAGCCAAGAGGATTATGTTAGGATTGTATATATTGATCAGTAATTAGAAACAACCATGCATGCAACACAGGATAGTTAAACAGATGTGTATTATAGTAGACCATGTACAAAGTTAAAATAGTATTTTAAGGAATGAAGAGATGACTCTGTGATGAAAGTGCTTGAAGACAGGAATTTGAGCCCTAGAACCCACATTTAAAGAAAATTGGGCAGCCATGCATGATGGCACACGCCTTTAATCCCAGTACTCGGGAGGCACAGGCAGGCAGATCTCTGTGAGTTTGAGGCCAGCCTGGTCTCCATAGCGAATCCAGGCCAGCTAGGGCTACAGGGAGACCCTGTCTCAAAAAG